AAGGTTATCCACTCAGCTACTAAGATTCAGGTCGGGGTGCATCCTTGGCCGGGGCCCACCGTCCCGACCAACCCTGAGACCAGAGCTTCGGCCCAAACGCTGCGGGAAAAGCTGCGCTCCACTCGTCGAAGGACTAAGGGTTTAGGGTTTAGGGCTTGGATCGAGGGTTTCGGGTCTCAAGAAAGATAGTCGTGATAGTGAGTGTGGCCATGATGCGAAAGTTGCGGCAATGAACAGGCTCAAGTCACGAAGATGTTGGCCCTGTTGGCGGTCAGGATCACGACGGTGACTGTTGTTGACGACGACGTGCACGGGACCACGGCCGTGTACCTGATTTTTGTCGTGACGAAGGGCATGGTGCTATTCTGTAGGAATGATTGTGCTGAGGATGATGGTGTGGATAATGGACATATTGGCGAGCATGCTGCCACTGCAGTGTGATGCTGATGACGATGCGAGCGCTTGATGATGATACTGATTACGATGGTGTTGGGCAGTGCTGGTGATGATGGTGCCCAAGAAGACGAAAATGACGATGGTGATGCTGATGAGAGTCCTGGTGGATGAGGATAGGAGGATGAAGACCATGAAGACTATGGTGAGGATCCTGAGAAATCATGAGGTTGAGGAGGGTGAGCGCGATGCTGCAACGGCTGATACCGCTGACGATGATGACAGTGTTGTGGTGGTGGTGACAGTGCCGGTGCTGACCATAAGGCTGGTGCTGATGACGGGCGACACTGAAGAGGGTGATGGCATCTGCTCTGATCTTTGGTTGCTGCTCTTAAAACCCGAATCCCAACAAACAACCGTGCAGACAATTTATGCAGGTCTTCAAAGACGTGCCACAGCCAAGAAACTCTGTAAGGGGCATTGTCGTACGTCCAGTCACAGATATCAGCCGTCATGTAGTTGCTGTAGGGAAAAGGGTGAGGGCAAATTACGCTATACGGTAGTGTTGGGTACCTTCTAAGGACTAGAGGTGCAGGTAATTACTGACTCCTGCTCCAAGTAAACTACGTGTGTATGTAACTCTAGACCCTAGACCCCAAACCCNNGAGATAAGGGTTTTGGGTTCAGGGTTCACGGGGTGATCGACGGAGGGTTTGCACGTCTAGCTTGAGCAAACACGTCCACTAGTGCAAGAAAGCTTGAGCCGTTTCCTCAGCTCATGGTGAGCGTGAACCGCAACTTTCTCTATGGGCTCATCCATCTCGCTGACATGTTGGCCCTGTGGCCCACATCGTCTTCCGCAAGGCCGTTGCGCGGCACCTTGCTGTGCTCAGGGGAACAGGCCAGAAAAGTGCTCTGCCAGGACCGCGGCACCAGGCTCAAGCGACTTCTTTCGCCCAGGAGTCCGAGGGCCGCTGCCATTGGGGTCGCTTTCGGGGCAGCTTGAGAAGCCAGAGGCAACTTGCAAAAAGCCAAAAAACAGGCACACCGGTGAACTTCCAAAATAAGCCTCGTCAGGAGCTACCTGCAGGCGGGGGGGCTTGCAGCACATAGGCAGGACGTTACTCGAGGGCTATAGTGTAGTTTCATTAGTATAGTTTTAGTATTGTTATCACCCTAGGCCCTGGTTGACACTTCCGACTTACAACCTCACTTCTTCTGAGTTTATATCGTCCCCGAGCCTCCAAGTACCGGAGCACGGCGCGCGAGCCATTACAGGCACTTGGCGACGTCTGCGTCTTCTGCCACTGAAGCTCAAGAATTCATGGTCAAAGGCTGCTTGAAGTTGGCTCAATACTGCCTGGATGGCGAAGCTGTAGCTCATCTTCCTGCTCATAATAGCTCATCTGAAGCATCGCTCCGGGTAAACTCAGCTTGCTTCGCAGGGTTCGCACACCCCATTTCATCACGAAGCTTTGCAGGCACCATGTGCACGTTGTCCTCAGCTTTAGCAACTAATCGAACCCTTAAGCCCTAAACCCTACTCCACTCGGCCGGAACCCTAAACGCTACACACTGAACCCGAAAAGCTTTTCAAGCCAGGGGCTCAGGTCAACTGATCCGCTTCCTCAACATCCTCTGGGCGCAATGCCCACGGAGGCGGCAAGTAAGCCACTCTGTCGGCCTCGGGAACTTAACTTAATACAACAATTAAGTTAAACCCCAAATACAGCAAGCCTGATAGAACATACAAACTCACTGTGTGTTTAAGCCTTTCGGCTTGTGACTGGGCATGCACGGCTTCATCGATTCGGGATTTGACTTTGCTACATGCTTCTTTAAGGGTAGTAGAATCAGGGTTTCGGTTGAGAGCCCGACCTTTACTGGAGGGCTTCTTTGGCTCCGGACTCGCAGGCCGTGCTAGGCTGCTCTGCCATTCCGACGCGCTCAGTCCCTGTATGTTCGTATTCATTACCCTAAAACCTAAACCCTAA